ATCAAAATTGGTTGAGTAGTTTTCGTGGTCAGCGTTTGCAAAGATTTTTGGAACTTCGCTATATATGTTAGTGAAATTTTTTTTGATGGCTCTAAATAAAATAATTTTTACATAGATTGAAAAAAATGCGAATTCCGGTGTGATAAGTCAGTCAAGTTTGGCTCCATAAGTCATACCTGACTGACTGAACAGATTCGCGGCGTCGTGACTTACGCGCAGTAAGACGTTAATATAAACAGCCTAAGTAGGTACTTGGTCTTTATTTTTTAGATTTCAACTAGAGTAATTAAGTTGTAAGTAAGCGTAATAATATAAAAATGTTTGCATGATACAATTTTTCGTTTATATAGATTTACCTATATTTGTATTATGTTTAAAACATTTTTGTGATGCGATAAATGATTAATGTTCGACTATCTTTCAAAGAATGTTTTCTTTTTACAAAGTTTACTATATATTACATATATTCTAAAGTGTACGATATATGATTTAAGTATTCATAATAAAGAATAATTGTATTATTCATTACTCTTTAATAATTTTTTTACAAATCCTAATTATACCTCCTTCAATGAAGAAATAATAAAAACTGAGACATAAAAGTTTAAGCCTTGGATTTGCAATGGCTCACAATTCCAACCCCCCTGGCTCATCGTGTTAACCCTGTATTACGTGATGGGTCAAATGAGGACACTTGTAAGTTATTTAAATACTCATCAAAGATCATCTATGAGTTTTGTGGATATAATCTTACATAAGTATTTTCAGAGAAGATAAGCATTAGATAAGCATTGCAGATTCCAATTTGCAACGAAAAAAAGTTTAATTTTCACCTTCTGAGACTCCGAAAATTGCCGCAACTTTGGTTTCACTCGCAAATTATCATTAAAAAAACGTTTGGAAAAATTATGGCATTAATTTTCTTAGTAGGAGGGGTACTTTTTTTTTGGCTGGGCAGTTTTCAGGTGCCAGAGAAGTTCTAGTCCTGACGTAAATGGCATTTCTCTGTGACAATTTTTAATTCTCTATCTATTAGACTTGATTGTGGCAGCTATATCATTTGAACTATGTGGGAATTTTTTTTTTTTTACAGTATAACTTATGAACAATAGTAGATATCACGAAAATACTTCAGATCTTCTCGAATACTGGCGTTTTTTAATTTTTGTGAGAGTTGTGGCGGTAATTTTTACACACCTAAAGCTCAGCTCTTATTCCATGAACAACTAACATGTAGAATAATAACACATAAATAAATATGAAAATGAGTTTTATTATATAAACTAGCCGTATTACCTTTTTTGAAATAGTTATTGAATTGCTCGTATATTGTATACTTTTTTTATATGATTAAATAAAAATTAATGTATTAATGTTTGTCTTATAATGAATGCGTAAATGATAGCAAATAATTATAGTCAACTTTTTGCATTCTCATTGAGGTTAAATGCAGTTTATTTATAGAAACACAAGGGTTTTATCGTTTATCTCATTACAGTGCTGCTTTGTTCCGTATTTAGTTCCAGCTGCATTAATAATAGGACGAATGATTAATTAGAACGTGCCCTAAGTCTACTGTAAAGTACCAAGTTGAATTGTACGATTACTTCTTCCAGAATTAATTCATCAAGTAAAAGTCAAAAAGTTAATTATCATGTATTCTAATACTAAATAAAATTAAACAAGTAATTGATCCCCAAGAGGAGCAAAACCCATAAAAATCATCCTAATTACAGCGATTTATTTCCGATAAGTTTTTTGTCGTAACGTGCGTATATCATGTACTTGAAAGCCATCATAAAAACTTACAAGGTCAATGTTTTATCAATTCACACTAGTTTATTTTTTTTCTTTCGTGTATTTGAAATAAACTTGGTATAACTACCTAAATAAATATTTAGTACAGTTGACCCTTCCATATTTCTATTTGATGTTGTTAAATTTTTATTTAACTATGCACCAACAGAAGATCTGCTTATTTAAAAGTTAACTTACACTTATGTTTTTCTTTTTTCGATAAATATTTATCGAACATTAATAGAATTTAATTATTTCAACGACTTGCATATCTACAACAGAAAATAACTCAATTTCATAGAAGTATTGTTGGTATCTGATTAATGTTTGGATTTGATTGGAATTTCACACACCAGCAAGTTTTAATGTAAAAAAATTGTATGTACCTCAGAAAAAAAAAAGTTAAGGGTACTTTTGTTTTCATGAGTTTCTAAAAAACTCTACGTTATATTTTCATGATTAAACGTGGATTAAACTAAACCACCGTTTATATTATAATAAAAAAATATAGGAAAATAGACTCGATCTTACCAGAACAGTCCAATGACTTGAAAATAACGTAGATACCTGTGACATAAGAAAGTATAAGTTCAAGCCTTATTAAGGTAGTTTATCATCCACAGGCCTATCTTCAATGCATCATCTGTTATGTACGTATAACGCTTACATGTAGAAAAGGCTAATTATTACGTTCTGCGGAGATATGGCAACAGTGGTGATCATCTCGTCATGCATTTGCTATATACACACACACTCGCATTTGGTTATACCAGAGAATATAGAAACATACGGGACGTGTTTCCATATTCTCTGGCTATACATATGCGGCAGCTCTGTAACAAAATATTTAAGACATTTACGTACGCAGCAGACAAGTTACATGACAATTTTTTAATGATTCTCTACTTTGTATTTATACTGGTGACGTCAGAGTTTTAAAATTGTATAAAATAATACAAATTGTAAACTTTTTGACATTTCTCAGAATTTTCTTAGTTACTTATGTAGCTCTTTTTGCCTGTATTCGAAAAGTCCCTCTTTTTCCCGTTGGAACTTTTCCTTTTCCTCTATTTTTTTTCTTAAATTCCATTTTCCACTTCTCTGATGTTAAAGCATAAATAGGAGCATGTGCAATCTTTTTTTTGTTTTATTTTTGAAGTTTCTATATGTGAAAAATGTATATTTTCTTTCCATATTTGATTCACATGCTTAGAAGAAGGCAGACATCTCTCCAGAAGTTCTTCTTTCACTCTATAATCATTTTCCACTATCTTGGAAAAATCTGCGCAAAAAAGTAATGTTTAAGAACAATACTGTAAGAAGTTTAGAAAAANGTATGCAGCAGACAAGTTACATGACCATTGTTGAGTGAGTCACTATTTTGTATTTATACTGGCGACCCAACAGTTTTAAAATTGTATAGGATAGTACAAATTGTAAGTTTTTTAACGGTAAATTTCTCAGGATTTTCTTAGTTACTTAAGTAGCTCTTTTTGCCTGTATTCGAAAAGTCCCATTGTAACCTGTGTTAAAATTTTAAACTTGCAACTTTATTATCTCAAAAACCAATGTGGTAGAAATATTTTCCTATAATTCATTCCAAAAGAGAAAAATTTAATCTATAACATAAATTTTTTTCAAGGAAGCCGAAGTTAAAACGTGGAAGTGATAGACTACCTTGAAACCCTAGTATTGCTGTCCAATAAAATCCAATAAAAAGAGTGTATTATTTGTATTGTTTATCAATCAGCATTAACACCCATTGTTCTGGATACAATACAATAAAGACTTCTATTTTACTTCATTTTATAAGGAATCTCAAATAATAATTTTCATTCGTACTTTCAAAAAATTAAACTAAAAAAACTAAGTCAAGGAGACTGTTTATCATAAAACAGTTTTATTTATATTTGTATAGTTTCATTGAATAATTTTAGTGAAAATTCTAATGATTAAAAAAGAAAAAAATTGTATTGCTCTATAATTAATGTTCGACTATCTTTCAAAGAATGTTTTCTTTTTACAAAGTTTACCCTGCATCTGTGCACGCTAGTTTCGACCTTCAGTACAACCGGAACTTCTCGCTCCTATCGAGGTCTATGATAACAAATGGTGGCTTGACGGCCGCCAGNATAGCGTTAGTCGAGTTTTTATTTGAACGTTTATAAAATATTTCCAACCAATACATTGATAATAACTGAATTATAAATAATAATTAAATTTTTGCAGTTTCACAGTTACTTTATTACTAACGAAAGCTAGTATTGATAAGGTATAGCTGTTAAACTACAGAAAGTTGTACATTTCCTAATATTCAACCATGCACAGGTTCTTTGGTAAAAAATAATACTAGGTATTATTTTTTCACAGATGTAAACCAACACAAGGTATTCCAAAGTATATTTTGTAGGTTAGTATTGGAAACGATAACTCGAGAAGTGTTTGCTTTTTAATTTTTTTTACTAAATTTTAACTAAATTATTTTTTCATGACAAAACTTATTGGTTTGTGAAATTGTGGTTACCTGAGGACAACAAATAACGCGCTGACAGAACTACTTTAAGTTTAATAGAATCAAATTATTTGTTTTACTTTAATTTTTTTTACTTTTTTTTTGTGGACGCATACACCAAATGTTTAAATAAATAAGTTCTATCCATGTAAAGCAAGTATTGCTTAAAAAGAAAAATTATCGGTTTAAAACAATGTCAAAATAAAATGTCTGATATTGATATATCTAATAATATGAAAATTTAATAATGTGAAGTATTTAATGGAAACTAAAGAAACAATAGTACCAAATATTTATCTCATTTTCATTTATAATTATTATTAAATTATTATTAAATTATTAAAAATTTAAATTTTTTTTTAATTAAGTTATAAGTTTATATGGCTTTCAGGTAAAAATATACGCATTATATTTACAACAAAATTTATCAGGCTGTTTGAAAATATCTTATCGTAATCTATGAGATCGCACCAATCGGGATGGAAACCCTGGTAGAAAATTACTACATAAACTGGCTAGAAACTCGTCAATGTACATACTTAAATGGGCTTATAACATGTTCACGAGTTTCTAGCCAGTTTATGTAGTAACGTTTCTAACAGGAAACATTAAATAAAATCAGCAACAAAATCAACAATAGTAAGAAAGATAACACATCAAGGGCTTAAACTATGAGTCATTGTAAACTAACCGTAAAAGTATCTTCAGTGATGCCACTGGCAGCGATAACCCACCCAGTATTAAGATTGCTACTGAAGTACTCAATATGGTAGCCATTGATCTTACTAGCACCTTCATGACCAGGACTCCAAGTGATAGTGACTGAGTTGCTGGTTGTATTGACAATGCGTGGTTTACTGGGATTCTGCGGGCGCTCGCTTATATCAGGAGTGCGATGAAGAGTCGTCGAGGAACTAACACTTAGGGCTGCTGACCAGGAAGTGTTGCCAGACTCAGAAGAGGCAATACATGTGTACATTCCTGAGTCACCGTTCTGTAGATCTTCAATAAAAAGGCTGCCATTACTGGCCATCGTTATTCGGCTACCCAGATGAACAAGCTGACCATTTTTGTGCCAGTTAATCTTGGGTGTTGGCGTACCTACGGCCCGGCAGGGTAGTGAGGCACTACTTTTTAACAGCAAAGTCTGGTTGGCTGGGCCCAGCTCAATTATTGGTGGCGGTACTTCTTCAGTCGACGCAACCTACATTGAGTTAAAAAATTAATCATAATTAAGTTCAACTTTATTAGGACTTCATTAGATATAAAGTTATACTATGAGAATTTGATTCGTAGTCAAGGCACCAATGATGTTGAATAAAATGGTCAATTTGAACGAGATACCATTTATGCAATTGAAATTATATTATTTCTTGAAACAAATGTTCTTTGCAAATATTTTTCAGGTGATAATTTTTTACGAGGAATAAGAATTCTTCAAATATCTGAAAATTGTTTAATTTTTACAAATAAGTTTAAATAAAAAATAAAGTTGTCACCATTTAATTAAAAATGAATGTGCGTATCATTAAAATAAGTCAAAACTAATTCGATCGCAAAATTGCAAGATTGTCACGTTGAAATTTTTAAACCAGTTTTGCTGGAACCATTAGGTACATACAATATTTTTGAACATGCTATAATAAAATTTTTTCAATAAACAACCAAAAAAGTGATCTAAAAAATACCCGTGACCATGTAGTGCATTGTACGACATCATCTACTTTTAAATAAACTAAAAAGAAAAATTTTTGTAATAAGACCAATAGAAGCTAAAAAAATAAGACTTTCACTTTTTAACGCGTATTGGTCGTCTTTTATGATTTTTAAACACTCAACAGATACAGTATTAACTCATTTTGCTGTAAATTATTAATCATAATAGTAATAAACTTTCCGTGAACTACGTTTGTTCTGCGTCTGCAGCCTGCAGTGCAGCGCACTACATACGCACAGTAGTCCGATAAGTACGAGGTGTTCTCTGCTAAGTTTTTTGACATTGCGATTCAACTTTTAGTTATCTGGTCATAGAGGTATTATAAATTTGTATAGTATTCGCTTTGCGCCTATTTTAGGTGAAGATGGCAAGTAAGAGAAATTGTCCCTCACTGAGATCATCAGAATGCATGGTGCCTTCTGCCAAAATTTTGTAATCAATTGAAAAAGGAATCATTACGAAGGTTTGGAAGAAAAGTTTAAAATGTAGAATTGTGCCAAAAAATGTATACTATATTTGAGCATATCAGGAGTGCACATTAATTCTTTTAGATTTTTTACCAGGGAAGTTTTCTTGAAAAAATTATTAAATATTTACAGTTTAACACGGTCTCTTATGAGAGGACAAAGTTAGGTTGCCTTTTGATTAAAAATTAAGGTACATTATAAATGTGTTAAATTAAAAAAAAAGAAAAACATTTTATGAATACCTTAGTACGAAAGAAAGATGTTCAACAAAAAAAATCACGACTCACCAGGTATTTTTCAGTGTTATGACAAATAGATAAATACTAGCTGTACTTATGTTTACCAAGCTTGACACAATTGCAAGTATGTATATGCACTTATATATTGTGTTGACACAGTTACAATTCAAATTTTTTATTTTTTCAATTTCGTAGGATATGCGACAACATAAAACAAAAGTTATTGCTGTACATCAGCATACTACACGCTATAAAGTCACTGATTCATTTGATCAATTAGCTCTCAACAAGTTTTTTTTTTTTTTTTTTTTTATTAAAAAATTTCCGCACAAAGCGGAAACAGTTTTGTCTCCCTCGGTGGCGCCAACTACCATAGATGAGCAGCAGATGTCAATTATATTTTTCCTATTGAGGGCGCAGTAAGTTTCCAAAGATTTTAAAAAACGCCCAAAGTAGAAAAAATAGTTTTCGCCTCAAAAGCGCCGTCAGCCCGGGGCTGTCTTACGTCCCCTGGGCCCTATTTTGCATGTCCCTCAAGCCTCAAAATAGCTTTGGTAGCGATGGCGATTATCTGTTGAAAACTACCATTATATAAGAAATATTGAATTCCATTGATAAAATACTAATCATTCTAAAAATCAGTCTTTCAAAAGATTTAATAGATTAAAAAAAAATGTTAGTGATTAAATTGACATTTCTATTGATTTTTAAAATGCTACGATTTTTCAAAATATTCTATCTTTTTATTTAAAAAAAATAAGATAATTCAGGTAACCATTGAATAACTTTCATACTTGTATAATTTTACGATGCTTACTCCTCAAGGAAACCCGTAAAAAATGTTTTTTGACATATCTTGATATTTCTTTGAAAAAAGAAATGAATTTTTTTTAAAGGTACAATGACAAACTTTTTTGAAACACATGCACGTCTGAGGTAAAAATTGTAATCAAATGAAGGGAGGGACTTCAAATTATTGCACTAGAGAAGATAGGGGCTTGTTGTAACAGGGATAAGTAGTAACACGCTATTTTTGCTAAATATATAAACTTCATGTCTCATTTTTTTGTATTAATTTTATTTTTAAATCATGCAGAATAACCCTATCATGGTCAGTGTTCTACTATACAACGCAGTGAGTAGATGTGTGCACGAGTTTCAATTTGGTGAGGTAACGTTAAATTTTAACTGCAATTAGTTTTGTGTTTCACTGCTGTATTTTATTGATTTGCAGAAGTAAATGCGAGTAAATGTGCACATAGATTCAAAATACACCGTGTATCGAAAATAAGTGAGGAAAACTATACTACGCGATAAAGCTCGTCTAGACTGATAGAAAAGCTCTTTATACAAAATTTTGATTTGATGTGCATTCTCCGAGGTATNATAATACTACACTCAAATTTTTGAACGGAATATTAAAATGGAATACACACCGTGTATCGAAAATGAGTGAGGAAAACTATACTACGCGATAAAGCTCGTCTAGACTGATAGAAAAGCTCTTTATACAAAATTTTGATTTGATGTGCATTCTCCGAGGTATTGACAAATTAACATTAATCATTTCGGCCAATCACAGAGCGCTTAGCGTCGGGGGGTGGGCTCTCAGTGCCGGTAGTGTAATTGACTCTTGATGGAGGGTGCGGTGGTGGGGAGGTGCCTAGGGGAAAAGAAGGTTGGTACGCAGAGTGTAGCTTTATCGACTGCAGAGAATCAATGAGTGTTCGAACCGGGGGGTAATGCAAACACTGCCGAAATGTATGAGGATGTAGCAATAATAAAAGGGATACTAAAAGAATGCTCTTGGTAGTAATAATCTGAATAACCAATTCCCTTTTCTCCAAATTTTTAGCACATCTCTGAAAATAAACTCTACAGAAAGAAAAAGGAGTCATAAAAGGACGCTGGCAAAGCGGTATAAACACTTTACTGAAGTTGCCAGTCCTTGAGTATGAAGAGCCAAAATAATAATTTCTCACCTTCGAGCACACTCACAGGTGACAGCTCAGTAAACTCCAAAAATTAAGACTAACTGAGACCAAAAATTATTACTCAACTGAGACTAACTGACCAGTTAGCCACTACACAACTAAAAACAAAGATAATTAGAGTACACACTAGGGCAAATACGAAAACTTTAAGTGTTACTGTAACTTTTAGTACTAATCCACTGGAAGGCTGTTCGAACACTTACTGTTGACTACTCCGTATACTAGCACAACTGAAACCTTCTTGCCAGTCAGTTGAGTGCATGACTAAAAAAAGGAAATCTGATTACAAGCTAGGGCATGAACAAAAATGACAAGGGTTGCAGGATGCTTTTGGTACCAGCAGAAGTGTACTTGGCGCAGGTGCTCTGCATTGTCAAACTAGAATACCTCTTCATTTGCAGAACATCTCTCAAAATGAACGCTTCAGGTTAGCCACAAATACACGAAACTGTGGACCAGGTATTGTTTAGGTAAAAATAATGTATTGCATGTGCAGCATTATCTGAAATGAAGAAAACCACAAAGAACCACGCATTTAAAAAAATCAATGTAAATGTATGGGTACATGTTGTATACGTATCTGACGTAGCAAGATTTACATAAACGATATTTGGTACCATAACACATAACTTTTGATGATTGGCCCACATCGTTACCTGCAGGCGCAAGCTGCTGTGACGGCGCGGCCGGTGTCCGGGTAGGTATCAGGCTTTTCCGAAGTCTCATCTTTGTTTACATGTCAAGCGCGTCTCTCATGACGGTAAAGGAGCAGACGACAAAGAACTGACGATGTACCTCTACTTATTCAAATTTTTTGAGATGCAAGGGAACATTAATGTAGAAAAAAAAAATTTCAGGCAGTTACAGCAGATACTTGTAGCTCCTTTTGTTTATACATACAGTTAATCCATAGTACTGAAGTGCAATAGAACCTTAGCATTTTCGTTTATCCCTGAAAAGGGCTGATGGTTTAAGTTTATGATGACAGAAGTTGCTCAATGTGTCCTCCGTTTACTCTAAGAACGAGGTTGGCACGACGAATGATGTTGTTTACGGCTCTTTGCACCATACCCCGTTCTCACATAATGTTGAAGTCGTTGATGATTCTCTCACGACAGTCTTCTTCCCCGAGAGTTTTAGTTTTGTACTCGATCTCCTTCACGCAGCCCCACAAGAAGTAGTTAAGTGGGGTCAGATCTGGCGATCGTGCTGGCCATTGAATTGGACCACCTCGTCCAATCCATTGGTCGGGATAGCGCTCATCCAAGAGCCTCCTGACGTTGGCGGAAAAGTGCGCTGGAGCTCCGTCATGCCGGTAGATCATAGCTAAACAAATGTTCAGCGGGATATCTTCTAGCTAGGGCGGTAGTGTATCCCTCAGAAAATGCAAATAAGCTGCTGCGTTCAGTCTGGGTGGAAAGAATAGTGGTCCAATCTGTGTTCAAATTGAACAAGTATTGAATTGGTTATGCTAAATACTAGGATTTTCAATTATTGACGTGTGGACTATACTTTAAGGCTTGATATGTTTAAATAATAATTATAAACTTACAACTCGATCACCGATGATTCCAGCCCAAGCATTAATATTCCAACGGTATTGGAATATTGTAGGTCGTGTAAGCCGCGGATTTTCTTCAGCCCAATAATGGGATTATGCTGGTTCATCATACCATTTCTCGTAAACGGGCACTCGTCACTCCACAAAATGTAGTTCACAAATTCAGCATTGACGCGCACTTAAGCTAACAAACCCGTACAAAAGTTGACTCGCGGATGCCAATCAC